ACGTTTGGGAATGTACCACGTCCAAGGTTCAACTTTAGAAATGATCATACAGACAATGGACCCTGGACTAGGTGCGTTCCAATAAGTCTCCCTACCAATATGACCATGTTGCGAAAACAAGGTCAAACAACTTCTACACAACGAAAGGAGACTGCGACCACACAAAAGGCCACACCATCTTGGTCTTCATACCTTCGATTATATATATTTGAGTTAGGTAGAATTTGAAACTATCAGTAGATCTTGAATTTTTTAAGAATGCTATAAGTAGGCCTCACAGTTCATTGTGTCTCACTTGGCCTCGATTCCAAAAATGTATTCTCACTTTATTGATAGTTTCGAAACCTAATTTAACGAATATACTTTATGTAATCGATTGTAATGGCAAAACACATATTCGCTTCATCGGTAGTCTCACTATATTTTTCATTTTTGAGTAGGTTTTCGAGAGTACCATTAATTCACATGTATGAGCTGTGATCACCTTAATTCGTTTAAGGTGATGCAGGACTGGTGGTTGAATTTTCCCACAAGCATATGAGTAGACATGACTATTCATTGGATTTCACATGGCGTTGCTTTCCCAAAGGATATTCTCATCCAGACTCAAATTGACCACAGTTTCGTCCTGGCTTAAGTCTTTCAGCAACCCCAGAGGGGCTCGAACCATGACAATGCAACGTATAGTCTCGATACGTTGATCAATACTACACATTGCCACTAGTGTCCTTGGATGATAGGGTAGATGCGGATTTCACGGAAGGCCAGGCATTTTTCCATATCATATTCTGTGGTTGGATTGTCGATGAAGCAATCTTATATTTGTTATAACAATTGATGACATTATTTATATTTCTCACTTGACCTTAAACGAACTAGCTGGAACACAGCTCATATATTTACTCACACTATAGCAATAATGTGATGTGGGATAAGCCTGGCCCTCCTTAAAATTTACTTCTGCCCTCTGATAAACTGGCACCTTGACAATTTTAAGTTGCGATAACATGTCAGACTTATACGCTGCTCTACCAGGGTTCGATTCCTGTTGGTGGGGCTAGAGTCCAATTTTGATAGGAGTACCTCTTGGGTAGGAAAGATAAGTGAACTCTAATGGAACTTAGATGCTTTACTTGGAAAATGTCATTAACATACATTTATCTGGATGTCTTAAAATCTATTTGTATCGAAAATAAGAAATGTAGTTTCACCACACGTGCCAGCAGCTGGTTCTTCACATGCAACCACTTCATAATAAAGAACATAATGCGCTGTCGACAAGTCTTCCCCTTCGACTGCGTAGCGAAATGATCCCATTTTGTATGCGTTCTACAAAATTTAACCAGCTCACTGCCGACTATCAGCGACATTCTTTTGTGCCCCTTGCACAGAGCACTCTGGCGCACTCCCTTTGGGCTCCTGAGGAGGGTTTGACGCCTTCAGATCCACCCTCATCCAAACAAGCCTGTCCGGACCATCCAGACATTCGGTCGGGCCACTCGGGCCGAATTCAAGGCATCGCTGTCTGTTCTGCTCGGGTCTGAACAAGCGGTCTGTCATCCTTAGATTGGGCTCTGATCTCGTCGCCAAGGCAGTGGACAAGTTGCAAAATGTGTGAAAATAGTGAGTAGGGGTGGGAGGGGGGGGCGGGCGAGGGAAGAACGATAGCTCCAATAAGGTTTGGGTTATCTGTACCAACTCCAAGCCATAGGTAGGCCGGAATCGTGAGAAGTGCATTGAGGCTTAGCATTTTAGCAAGAAGCCAGAACTTGTGTTGCGAGAACTTGCGCCGTGCCGAACCCTCGCGATTGT